CTCGTTTTGCGCTTCGAGCAAATGCCGCTTTCGCCTCGCTTGGCTCATATAGCACCTGTTATGCAGGCTAGAATACCTCTTCACATTTATAAGATAAGGTGTCATTGATTTGTTAGAGCGGGGAGAGACATTTATAACGTGCAATAGTCACGAGCTGAAAGGTAACTGACTGATTTGTAACAAGGACTCAGGATGACAAACAAGAAATGATCTCACTCTCCGAAAGGGAACGCTCTTTTAAACATAAATAAACTTCAAAAATAAGCAAAGAAAGCAAAACAACAAACAAAATAGATTTTTTCTTGACTTAGTTATTCCGGCGAGAACAAATGGTGAATGATTCACTTCTGGAAGCAACCTCTGAGGAGAAGTGAGAACACCGTTTAGGCAAAACTCTACACTTTGTGTACTTTACCAGCCTGTTCACTGACTCTCTTCATTTTTCGATATCCTCGAGTGCACGTATAAAAAAAGGCGCATTCCGCCCTCTCTCACGAGCAATCGCTTATCTTGTGCATGCACCAAATTCCCAAAACAGAAAAAACGTCTGCGAGCCGGGTAGTACTTTTTGTTTCTACATATTTTACCCACGGAGCTGGCAAGTACAACTGTTTACGGCTTTTTTCAGCAGGTCAACGTAGAGCGCTTTGCAGCGAACAGGTTTGGGAGGTACTTCTAATTCTAGTTGCTGACAAATGTTTTGAAGCATTCCAAGTTTAAGTCGCTCCAGAGATCCTCCCTTGGCCATGGCACAGATATCGTACTGATCGTAAGTGATGGGGTGCTGTAGCGTGATAGATAGAATTGTTTCTCTTGCCTTGGTAAAGTTTTCCTCTTCTACTACAGCTTGGATTTCAGCATCGTTGGATGTTTGCCTTCGGACCTTCGCTGCAAGACGTGAGAAATATGAAGTGCACTGCTGCGGGGTAAGAAACTCGGATACTTTGAACAAACGAACTCCATCAGGTCCTCGTGCACGTCTCATTTCACGTGATACGATATCACTGTCCAGTTTTCTGCCGCTGGTTTGACCAATTGTAAACTTCGCATTTAGATAATCCCTCTGGTTTTGATTAAAGCGATATGCTTTTTTGCTCGGCTTGAGCGCCCATCCTTCTTTTACCTCTACTTCGCCGGATGTAGCCTCTCTTGTATCCCTAAAAGACGCAGACGAAATAACTTGACTGGTCGTGCCCTCCTCCAACCTGGACTTGTAGCCTAGTTTGGCAAGGTCTAACAAAGACCGTTTCTCTAGAGACTTGGTGCATTTCTCTAAAGATAGGTGTTTTTCGAGAGAAGACAGCCTTTGAAAGACCTTAACACATCCATCCTGAGGGCAGGTAAACACGGATGACGATTCATTTGTATGGTCAGTGGGATCATGAACCTGCTCCACTTCCGTCTCTTGCTTCTTCCTTGACTGAGTCGGTTTTGGGCTAAGGGATTTGAAGTCTCCAGAAGAAAACTCAGATGAAAGCCAACTATTGCCATGCTCTGAGGTAGATAACAAATAAAGAAACAAGATTTACATAAACAGCACTGTTCAACTACTTCAATTCTTCACTCTGCACAGCCTGTGAAGAGTGCCCCTTTGGTCCACTTTACTGCGCGAACAGATGAAACGTTTGCTTTTTACTAGTTATGAGGACGTGTTCTTCAGAACCGCCATATTCTGCAATGTTCGTTTTAAAATTTTGTAGAACAAATCAAGGGCTATAAATGTATAAAGGGGCTTAAGTATTTTACAAAGCAAAACCCCACGGGGTGGCAGACACCCACTCCTCCTGCGTACCAGGGTGGGAAATGGATGCCTTGCATGCGTCTGAAGGCTATAACAAACGATAAACGTACACCCTTTTACTCAAACTTTAAAAAATATATATTGGCGCGATAACATAATTCTAAAAAAAAAATGAAATTGTGAATTTTCATAAGACTAACCTTCTGATGTTGTTTCCAATGGGATCTCTTTTCCCTTTCCCATACCATAAGCGCGCCAAGCTACGAGAATTTCGTCTTTAAACTCGAAATTGTTTAATTTGTTGATACCAATAATCTTTCTGTTGTCATCTACTACTGCTTCCTCTTCAACACTTTGCATGACAGCAACTCGAACTCCTTCTATCCCCCCATGCGAAAGAAGAGCACTCTTCAGTTGTTCGGCATTGGTCACGTCATTTCCTTCGTTTATGAAGGTCCTGACGTGATTCTTGCAGGTTGCAGCGAGCCTGTCTGCGGCACCTTTTCCACCCTGTGGGTCAGAAAAGTCAATGCGCTTGATTTCGATGCCGGTGGAGGAGGATGTCACTGGGCATGAGAGTACGGTGGACGACGAATGATAACATCCTGCGTTATCTTGGCGAAAGAACGCTTTGTTAATCTCACTGTGCTCCAGCTTGATGGTATTCAGGACATCCTGCATGATTTTAACCACTGCAGCACTGCCTTGATTGCAGGACTGGCCTATGTGCAGAAATCCCTGCCACTGGAGTACCCCGCTCATACGACGGTAGACGACAGAAACGTGCCAGGAGATGCCTCGCTTACCAAACCAGTCGGTTTGGGACTCTCTGTATTTTTGTGGAAGAAACTTCATGGCCCAGTCGTTAATTATCAAGACAGTGTTGTCGTCAAGTTTCTCCAGTGCATCTATTCTCGCTTGGTCTTGGTTAGCTGATCTCAGGATGTGGCATTTCCAGGACATTATGGCCAGCTGAGCTGTCTGGAATAGAAATAGCGCTTCGTCTTTCGCGTCCTGAGTTGGAAAGGTCGTCTCGCCAAGGACCCGTTCAATCTTTGCCAGAGTTTCCTGAAGACTTTGACAACGGTCACAAAGATCAGTGTGTTGGTGACTGCATTGTTGCTGGTAATCTGCATCACTACTGTCGCTAAGAGCAAACAACACACAATGGTCTGCTACGTTAGAGGGGCTAGTGACATGAACCTGTTGACAAGACAAAGTTGAGATTACTGTTTGTCTGTGCTTATACTTCAAATATAATAGTTAATCAAATGATTTTTTAATCTAACAAATATTATTAACGTAAGGGGGCGAATAAATTTTAACCTTAACCGTAGAAAAGACCACTATCCTCGTGCCCGGATTGTTAATCTCGAGAATTTATGTAAGCTAGTTACACGTGCACCAGATAGAGAAGAAAAAGAGTACAAAAAATATTTTTTTTACGGAATGATTTTGTTGATGAGGTAAAATACGTACTTATTTTTAGTTTTATTCAAGCTGTCTTTCTGGAGTCAGAATTCACATTACCTTATAGTCCCCCTTCAAATACTGCTTGCTTGTCATAAGAGCTTGCACAACTGTAGTCTCCCACTCCTTGTCGGAACCTAATTCCCCTATTTGGCGTACGAGGGCCACGAGATCATCAAATGCACGAGCACCTTCAGCTGCAAAATAATCTAGGCCCTGCAGTGATTTTCTTACAGAGGCACTGCATTCAGAGAGTACCCTTCTCATAGTAGTTTCGCTGAATGGTTTGAAGTTGGTCTCCAAACAGTACTGAGTGTACTGTTGTACCACTCGCTCGGGTATCATCATACGGATTACGTTAGGTACCTGAATAACCTCACCAGACGAAAGCTTGAGATGTTTTTGCCCAAATGGAAGGTCCTGAACAAGATGCGGGCTCGTGATGAAACCAAGAAAGTGGTCAAGTTGCCTCAAGTCTACTCGTATTCGTGTGGTAGGCTGTTGTGGAACTTGAGCGCCTCGGCCAAACTGTGATCGATGAAGATTAGCCATGGAGTATCTGTATCTCGTCAACCCTGGGATATAACGGGAAATGTCGTTGAAAGTTCCGACCCCTGCCATAATCGAAAGCACTTGTCTACGGGTATCCCAGCTGGTTGCATTCTGGTACGCTTCTGCTAGGGCCTCTAAATACAAATGCTCTGAATGTGACAACTCGCTTACACCTAGAGCCTTGTTCATAGCCGTGGAAGAGGCTAAACGTCGCCAGAGTTCACCAGCATTATCAGGGGTGACGCTCTTTAGCACAGTTGCTACTATTTCTGTGGCTCTCCTTGTCTGACGTTGTCTTGTTCGCTCAGAGGAATCATTCCAAGAAAGCCATGGCTTTCCAAGCGGTTCAAGTTTGCATGCTACCAGGAACTCACTCAGCTTTTCGCGCACCTCAGGTAAGATCACAGGTGTGGGCTCGTCACTCTGAGTGGAAGCTGTGCTTATTGTGTCTGGTGACAGAAAGGTGTCATCAGCGATTGTAAGACGTCCAAGGCTTTCTGCGAACTCTTCAACAGATTGACTGGTATCACTTTGTCCTGGAGATGAGTTTGAGCTTTTCTGTAACATACAAAAAAAACGTTTACACATCAATGTTACTTCAATATTTCTGTTTATTTTGTCACTAGGCATTAGATTTTTTAGTATAGTTCGGAACTTAAGTTACACATCATTTTAAAAAAGAAACTATGAATTCACATGCATACCTCTATCATTATCAATACTCCCGCTCCGGCCAGACCGAAAGGAATTTGAAGAAGCGAACAGTGACCTATTCATCTTAAAATCATTTTCAGAGTCATTTTCAAAGTTTACAGTTATTCACAGTTGCCCAGCCCTTTCGGAATTTCGACATTTGTTATGTTGGAATAACTGTCTGTATCCAAGGTTACCGTTTACTTACCTACATCTGCTTCTGAAGTCTCTAGTTCTACGCATGGATTAACTTCAGTCACTGGTGCGGGTGTCACTTTCTGTTGTTGGTTTGTTTCCGCGAAATGTTGCTTGCACATTCTGCAAAGAGCTGTGGCAAAAATAAATGTTAATATTGTTAAAAGGCCATCGCCGATTTCTTTACTATTCTTCAAAGCCAAGAGCAAATCAACATACTAGCCAACTAGAATATCTTTATCTTTTCTTTTGTGGCGGGGAGGGGAACAGGAGAATAAAGGGTATTGTAACGCTTGCGCATATGTTGCTTTGCGTCCTCGCGCGTTTAAAATTAAAGCGTATACTTAAGCTACAAAAGTGTTACGATAAACTTACGCGATCCAACTTGAATAAGTATTCCTTCAGTGTTTAAAATAAATGCAGATAGAACGCTGTCCAAATGCCGATCGCCTTTGACTGAGGCTGTTTTGTGAGCAGCTATTTCTAGTGGAATGCTACACTTCACTTTTGAGGATCTCCAGCGTATACCAAATTCCGCTCTGTGGTGAGGGCATATTGTCAATGACAAGTGGGACTCTTCCAATGCAAATACCCCTAAACAAAGGTAAAGGTAAAATTATCCATTGCATACATGACGAGTGAGTTGAGAGGCTCGTGTGCTAGGAGATCTGGAGGTCGCGTTTTCATAAAAAAGTCTTTAAAGTCTGTGTATCAGTGACAGGTGTGTGTGTTGGTGTGTGCGTGGGTGGCGGAGCGGGGAGAGGTGGGGGTGGTGAATAAAGATCTTTTTTGCTATCGTAAGCGTAGACTACGAGTAGTACCCCATTTTTCCTCAGGGAGAGTAGAGCGAGCGAAACGCGAGTGGGCGTGAAAATCACCCCACGCGAAAAAAGGCGACACGCGACAGGGAGAGGGAAAAAATTCTCTCTCCCTGCCGCGTGTCGCCTTTTCTCGCGTGGGGTAATTTTCACGCGCGCTCGCGTTTCGCTCGCTCTACTATCTCTGAGGAAAAATGGGGGACTACTCGTAGTCTATCGTAAGCGTTATTAATAGGTTTGCAAAATATTCACACCGCGAATAAAAGCCTGCGATTTTTAAAGAGATGAACTCGTTTGCATATTGTTCTTGCAAGCAGGATACAAAAGAGCGCGGTACGCAAGTACTGGGGACAATAATTTTGCCAAATGGAAGGGGACATTTCAGTTCGACCGACCGAAATAACCGGACCGGTCAAAGTGAACCAGCTTCAAAGGCGTTCCCAAATATTCTGTTAGGGCCGAACCGAAATGGTCCGTTCCATTTGATTTATAACCAAAACTTCCGGAATTTTGGGCTGAATGGAAAGCATCCGAAGATTTTCTTAGAATAACACGACCATCGAGGTCTGTGATAAAGAGATGATGGAAATGTACACCACTTTTAGCCGTTACGTAAGACGGTAAGACAGTACATAAGATTTACCTGCTCTTGCAAACAGCAGTTTCCATTCAGTGTCAAGTGCTGTGTCTGCTTTTAATCCATACAGCTCGCAGTGCCTCGATATGTCCCTTGTACAATTTCTTAAAGCGAGAACTTCAACTTGGCCTGGATAATCGCTGCTTAAACCACAGGGTGTGGCGTCGTGTAATAAACCAGAAAAACTACATGAGGGAAACGTTGCCGAAGCCATGACAAAAAACAAAGCTCTCCCAACAAACGAGACAAACTCCTCTAACGCTGTTTCAGCATTTCGTAATACTGGACGGGAATAATTCAATTAAAATGAAATCGTAGAGGCACGTGCAATAGTAAGTTGCGAAACAGTTCGTGACAATATATAAATTTTATTCCAGGAGCATTTGACCTGGAAATGTTATATTAATATTGTTTCCAGAGTCGAATATTTCTACACTGATGATCTATAAACAGACGTACGGTTGTACATTTTTTCATTGGGACAGCTGTAATTGCATCTTTATCTGTTTACAATGTGTACGAAGTATAGTACGTACCGCGGCATGTGACAAGCTAGCGTGACCAATCTCTGCTTGTTTGCTAAATTATGCGTCATATGATCTTGTTATCCCGTCTAGTATCTGATTTGTTCGCTCAATAAGAGTAATACTCACCTTGTTAACTGTGTGGTTTGAGCAGTGGTTAATTTTCATCATTGTATGTTATTTTCGGACCAAAACATAATCGGGTTCCATTATTACAGAAGCGTCTGATGATGCGTAATAAGCGCTGCGTGGGAAGTGTTTAGATAGCTCAAGGGCTGAAGTTGCTGGACACATTTTGGTCAAAATCAGTTATGGATGAGTTGCCACTTAACAGGACAAACAGATTGAGAGATGGATTTAACTTCTCTCACAACAAGCAATGGTAAGTTGTTCGTTCAACAAAACTTTGCGTTAAAAATATGAATTCATTCACCGGGCCGCCTAATTTGCATAAGTTTTATTTACTCAAATACTCAAATTGCTTACTTTAGTGTGAGGACTGTATTGGATTTCCAGAACTAAAACTTTCCAGTAATTTAGTTCAATAGCCAAGGTTTTATTCTATATGGGTTTTATAAGGAAGCGGCATATACCAGTGGCCTTTTACAACAGTTAAAGTTCGCCTTCATTTATTAACATTTCCAGAGATACAAATTTGACCTTTTTAAACTTGTCGATTGTAAATGTTAAAAACTTCTTTCTTCAAATTTTCTTTCAGAAAATTAAAGAGTAAGTATGAAATAATACTCGGCTCAAGTTTCGATGTTAGGGATTGTTTCTTATGCGTTCAACGTTTTCTCGAAGTTGCGGTCGGATTCTGTTGTTTTGAGTACGAAAAACCAGCAAAAAATCGATTTTTCAAACTTTTTGTTATTTCTCCCGTACAATGAATCGCTTGAACCCAAAACTATTTTTTCTTGAATTAGGGTACTAAAAGGGATGTTTTGGCAAAAGAAAAAAAAAATCGATTTTTTCACGAGTGTCTTGCGATTTTCGATTTTCTCAGAAAATGGCTCTTAATTACAATGTAATTCCTAGAAAGAGTTACTACTGTTTTATGACAAACTTCAGCAGCTATCTATATGTAGAGTTTCTACGGCTGGCAAGTTAATAGGACTCTACTAAGCATAACTTGAATGTCAAATGCTGCTGTATAAGTTGAAATACTCATGACTATTAGAGTGTGGACACTCAAACCGCGACACTTGCTAGAAGTTTGTTCAATCACCAAGTTTTCTAAGAACAAAAGATTCTCAATTTTTTTTTGCAAACGGCCCAATAAAATTCCAGGTTCAACAATGCAACCGTTGTAAACTTTAAAACCCGTTGAATTTACCTAAACCCTCAGGAACTCGGAGAAATCAAATTCACTAATGTCATTGGTCCGTTTAAAAAAAAAACGAAAAAATTGAAACGTTGTGATCGGACAAGCTTCTTCCAAGTGTCTTGGTTTGAGCGTCAGCACTGTGAGTTCAGTCTTGATTAAAATCAAAGAAGAAAGGGAAACAGTGTGAATAAACAAAGGGTTCAAAAGGTGTATCAGGGATTTCGTGAGATGCGAACTTCATTACATGAGAACTTGCGGGCAAGACATCACAAATTCGGGCACCAGAGGGGGAAATAATTCTGCCGCCATTTCCATGAGATTCGCTTGTGGCGAGAGGCAATATATCTGTGTATCCATACCGTCGTTCAAGCTCTTGCAAGTTGAACTTGTACGTGTATTTTTGACCTCTAATCTTGGTCAAAACCTTCTTGTGGTAGTAATAACGCAGTGCCCGACTAAATTTTTGGTAGGTCATGTTTCTTCGGCCATTCCTTTCACCCCAAAGCCGTGCCACGTGGTCGGGGCGTATGATAACGAACTGCCCGTCAGTCCCCTCCCAGGACATGATTGAAGACATATAAGGGTTTGACAAGATGTCGAGAATGAACTCAAAGAGCTGGGGCCTGGTTTTCAATGTATTCTCCAACAAATCTAAAAATAGGAAGGAAAATGGTTAAATAAGTTGTTTCCTTGTTTTCTTTTTTTCCTATCATGCATCTAGTTTTAATTTTAAGCAGTTTCGCGTAGAAGGGATGGCCACGATTTTGCTCCAATCTTTACACGTGGACTGTTTGTTTTTAATGATTGTGCTTCAAGAAAGTTTCTTAAATTTACTTTGAGCAACATACGTGAAATTTGATTTAAAAAGGTCTAAACTAGCAATTACTTTTAAAAGAAATTTAGTTTTTAGCCTTTCTTTTATAATTGTGTTTCCCGTATACCATAAAAATTCAGTCTTCTTTATATAGACAGAAAAGCTGTATTTTTCAAACACTTTATACTTTTCTTTTCACGGCAATCTGGAAAATTACTATATTATGAAAAAATTCTGAAAGAACTTACCACTTTCGAAATGACAGCTGGCATTAGGAACAAGCAAGTATTCAAAATCTGCGTCTGTTTTCCAAACAAAACTCATCTTTTTTTTACCGGAAGCGTTCATACAACAAATAGCAAATCCTCTGGCTGAACAGATATTTATGATCGTAACATCGATATATATCGTATTTGATACCAATGCCATATTGTGCTGACCAATCAAAAAACATAATTCCTTAGAAACATAACGCCCATCTGACGTCATAGAATAAACTGTTTTTCTTCAAAGTGATGATCAGGGACAATTCAGCCAATCAATAAGAAGCGGTGTCTTTGAAGTTGAAGTTGTGTTAAATGCTGATGTATGGCTACCATGGAGACTAATGAAACGTTTGGTTATATTTCCTCCTTATTATTCGTTCGCATGGAAACGATAAAGGCATCAACTACTTCTCGCAGTGTTTTGGAAAGTTGTTAGTAATGAAATTTAAGGTTTCCATAGCAACGTGAAAATGTTTATAACATCATAGTTTTCCTGTTGTGTCTTGTCTCCTTGGAACCTGTTATAACATTTTTCATCTCAGGAGGGTCCTACCAACTGGAAATGAAAACTTACTATTTTTATTGCTATTGTTATTATTATTTTTTGCTTTTTGAACTAATATAATATTATTGTGAAGATTTTGCTACACAGAGTGAGAAAGGAGTACAAATTAACGGTTAGCGATATAACCGCCAAAATATTAACTGTATGGTGAAAGCATTCACCACAAAGACCTTAGTAATAGCTTACAAATTCCATGACTTATTTGACTTATCAATCTTGCAGTTTGGCGGGAATAAAAATTAGGCAACATAAAAACAAAGAATAGAAGAAAGAAAATGAAATGACGTAGTAAAAGTCTACCTAATCTTTTGCGTTTTCTCTCCAAACTGGAGACATTTGTAAATTAAAGCTGTGTGCATGACACACTGATTACTGATTACTTTTTGCATTCTATTGATATTTATCTCCTTGTTAATAAAGAAAAAATGGAAATAATAAAAATGAAAATAATTTCGCAGTGTACAAAAAAAAAACTTGGCTTGCTTTAAAAGTGCTTGAACATTAACTTTTTTATTATATACGTACTGAGATATACTCACTAAATAGTTATGTTGATATATGTACTTCTTGACTGAGTGGGAAAATATTTGGCACAAGGTCATTGGTGGTCAGCTGCACCGAGAGCCAATATATTTTCCCGTCCGACCCGAATTAACTCACATTCAGTCGAAGTATGTTATCGTATGATAGTTTTGTTTTTTGAATTTTTCTGACGGAGCGAACCCGCATCAAACAGTTGGCTTTTCTAGCAGGGCCGTAAGCGTTTTCCCCGGCCCTACCCCTTGACGCGAACGGCCCCGATTTTAAGGGACTTTTTTTTTTCATATGGTTTTCCAACGAAATTGCGAGCGGAGCCGTACGGATCATTTGATAAATTTCGATCCTCAAAAGAGCTCTCGCCAATCAGAGGGGCGAACGATGTTTTTCACACGTAAATAAAACGATACGTCCAATCAGAATCGCGAACGACGTTTTTTAACCTGGGAGAAAAATGATATCTCCAATACTAAACCAGAAAGGTGTGTGAGTTTGACGCTAAAATTCCTGCCTTTTGTAGGTGCTTGCACCTTGCAGCGCCCTCGCTTCGGGTAGAGTGTTCACAGTCTCCTATTTTTCCGTAAGATTGTCGAGATCGAAGACTGCCTTACAGGCGTGTTCTGTCGCACTTTGTAACAATCGTCGCTTTGTAATAAAATTGTCGCACTTTGCAATACCTGTCGCATTTTGTAATGAAAAAGCTGTCGTACTTTGTAATAAACTTGAAATGGATGTTCAGAGGACAAGTAAACCCAATAATAAGTATCATCATCGACAACAACAGCAGCAGCAGCAGCAACAACAACAACAACAACAACAACAACAATAATAATAATAATAATAATAATAATAATAATAATAATAGTAACAATAATAATAATAATTTTGATAATGATGTATTTAACAATTAATGAATGAAGCTGGATATCTTATGAAGAATTATGGAGATCGAGGAGGGTGTTATCCGTCGAGGCCGTAGGCCAAGGCGGATAACACCATACGAGAACTCCATAATTCTTCATATGATACGAAAGCCGAATTCAATAATTGTTTTATTATTCATTCAAAGCAATTCCTAGTTTAAAAACATGGCTAAAACATGCTTACCTCCATCGATCCATCGATGTTAAGTTCATCTACGATAGTGCACGTTTAGGTTTGTCCAGCTCCGCAAACATTCTCCAAATAGCATATGTCGCCCTTCAAGTTGTCTTCTTGCTGTTCTTGCCATGTTTTTAGCTATTGTTTCGCCTAGTTCTTATTCTTGAAACGAGTGAAATGTCCACCATTTTTCAAGTTCACAACCAAAACAACTCAACCTCGTCCCCAGGTATTCTCGGTTAACGGTGCCTTAACCTGCGAAAACGCTGTATTTTTGAAGCCATTTCCTTGTTAAACACAAAATTCTTCCAAATTTGGTCATCAGTAACTGGTTATGGTGAATGAAACGTGTGCTTTTAGCCAATCAGAATCGAGAAAATATTTTGAATGAATAATAGTGAATAATAATAGTTTATTGTAAAACTTGAGGATGTTTTAATATGTAGATTTAGCCAGGGCTAAAAGCGAAGCTACCATCAAATCAACCATCTTATTTTTTTAAATCAAACAATAAACTTGTATTCCACAAATCGGTTAACTTTAGAGCACATTCATGTGACTTTTGAGGCAAAGGCTAAGTGATTTTAGAGAAAAATAATTTGCAAACAATCCAAGCTAAGAGTGAACTTATGTAGAAGGCCTAAATGTAATAAACGGTCCTAAATGTAATCAAGTCCTAAATGTAATAACATTTTGTCCTAAATGTAATAAAGTCCTAAATGTAATAACAATTTGCCCTAAATGTCATAAACTCTTAAGCTGCCAATTACAGAAATTACTCGAATAAGCCCCGCTCTCAAATAAGCGCCGCATGTGAGGGGTTAATTAGCGCCGCGGCGCTTATTCGAGTTAATACGGTACTAAACGGTATTGCTATGGTATTAAGCTCCGCTCTCAAATAAGCGCCGCATTTTTAAAGAAAAAGTTAAAAAGCGCCGCGGCGCTAATTCGCGTAAATTCGGTACATTTCCTTATGCACTGTGAAACTTAACGTTTACAAATAATTGCTTGTAAACGGCAAAGTGACAGTATTTTTGTAAAAAAGCATTATTTAAGCAATAGAAAACTTTTTTCCTGTGTTTGAATAGCCTGATATAAACACTAGAGGGGTTGGGAGAATTCGAGACAGTTATGCAAACCCTCGACGTCGTCTCAGGTTTGCATAACTGTCAAGATCGAATAAAGAATAAAGTCCTAAATGTAATAACATTTTGCCCTAAATGTAATAAACTCTTAAGATACCAATAACTGTATTTATGCGAATAAGCATCGCTCTAAAACAAGCGCAGCAATTGGGATAAAAAGTTCATAAGCGCCGCTGCGCTTATTCGCGCGCGTAAAGACGGTACATTACCAATTACCATATTTACACGCATAAGGGCCGCCCTAAATGAGCGCCACCATTGGGAGAAAAAAGTAAATGAGCGCCGCGGCCCTTATTCGAGGAAAACAGTACTGATATATTTCCTTAATATGCAACGTTGAACTTCACGTTTATGAATAAATTTCTTCAAAGCGACACATAACAGTTTCTTGTCTATTAAGTATACTTATTCATTCATTCATTTATTTTATTGCTTAATCCATATTGTTTACAATTATGTAAAACATAACAAGTAACAAAAATGAACTATTGTACCTTTCCTCAACGGCCACCTTGGGGACAGGAAGAAAGTGGCCGCGGGGAAAGTTCAGTAATACAGGTAAAATGATCAATGCTAAATAATAAGAATATTTTAAAAATAACTTTTAATTAACGAATCTAGACTTTCTTGAAAACTATGTAATTATTAAGTCAGGGGCCTGTTGCGAATAAGCATTCCAACATTAAAAACAATTCCGTTGATTCCTTTATAGCAAGGCTTCTTATTTCAGAAGTTCTTTTCAATTCTTCTTCTATTTCCTCTTCTGCCTTGTCACTGTTGTCATCTTTTTTCAACAGCAACAAACGCAAACGAAGGTAGAGCTTCCTTAAAAACTTATGTAATGACACAAGGTCAATATCATATCTGTATAAAAGCATTAACAGCTCTTTTGATTCTCTTACAGTGAGACTTACAGTGGAGCTCGTTAATGTTGCTTTTACTGTCATTTCCTTTTTTCCTATTTTTCCTATTTTTCCCCTACTTTTCCCGCGGCCACTTTCTTCCTGTCCCCAAGGTGGCCGTTGAGGAAAGGTACAATAGGTCATTTTTGTTACTTGTTATGTTTTACATAATTGTAAACAATATGGATTAAGCAATAAAATAAATGAATGAATGAATAAGTATACTTAATAGACAAGAAACTGTTATGTGTCGCTTTGAAGAAATTTATTCATAAACGTGAAGTTCAACGTTGCATATTAAGGAAATATATCAGTACTGTTTTCCTCGAATAAGGGCCGCGGCGCTCATTTACTTTTTTTCTCCCAATGGTGGCGCTTATTTGAGGGCGGTTCTTATGCGTGTAACTATGGTAATTGGTAATGTACCGTCTTTACGCGCGCGAATAAGCGCAGCGGCGTTTATGAACTTTTTATCCCAATTGCTGCGCTTGTTTTAGAGCGATGCTTATTCGCATAAATACAGTTATTGGTATCTTAAGAGTTTATTACATTTAGGGCAAAATGTTATTACATTTAGGACTTTATTCTTTATTCGATCTGGACGGTTATGTCTCGAATTCTCCCAACCCCTCTAGTGTTTATATCAGGCTATTCAAACACAGGAAAAAAGTTTTCTATTGCTTAAATATTGCTCTTTTTACAAAAATACTGTTACTTTGCCGTTTACAAGAAATTTATCTGTAAACGTTAAGTTTCACAGTGCATAAGGAAATGTACCGAATTTACGCGAATTAGCGCCGCGGCGCTT